GAATTTGCTTGGTATTTATAAAATATCACTATATAAGGGCTACCGTTTAGTTGTAACTTGGGTGATCCATCTCTTCGTCCTTGTAATTACTGTACTTATCTCTCCAGAACAGTCATTTCTACTCCAGGTTTATAGAACAGGTAATGGATAATAAAGGCCATTTGTTTTCTGGATATTAAAACAAGCAGGTATAATTTCACGGCAATAAAAAAAAAAACAAAAACAAAAAAAAAAAACAAAAACACCACCTCCTAACTTTCCTTATAATATTCACTCCTACATCATAACGTTTAACTTTCAATTTAGGGACGCGAGGCTGCGTGTTCATTTGAAGTGGGTTCATTTGGAGAGATGTAAAGAGAGAGAGCGAGCGAGGGAGGGAGGGAGGGAGGGGAGGAGAGAGGGAGGAAATTAAAGGTATCATTTTCAAGGATATTTCTAATTTATCTCCCTTGCTCGGGACTGACTCGTCTTGGCCCGGGGGTGAGGGTCTCTGAGCTCTGCAAACACAATTCAGGGTGGGTTTTCTTTCTATTTATTTTTTTTCCCTGCCGGACAATCAATTGAATGCGCTTTTTAATCCCGATTTACTTTCCAAATGACCTCTTTATCGCGGAGAAAAACGCGAGGTTGGAGCTGGTGGTGTAAACGCGGAGATAAATGGTGAATCCTCGCAGGGATGCTCCGTTCCTCCCCCCCGCCAGAGCTCCTCGCTTGCTGCTTCACGGGGTTTAGGTGAAAATATGATTTTTTTTTTTTTTCATTAGAAATTAAAAGGATACACAAGGCTGGCTGGGAAAGGCTTAAATCTTCGTTTTCCTGTTGCAAAACAGGTGTGGGCTGATTTCCACCTAACCCTGCAGCCGCCCTCCGTACATTTACACAGCTCAGATGCAGTCGAGGCGCCGGTTGCTCCTTATTAAAAGTTCTGCCCTAAAAAGCACCTCAGAATTCCAGCGCTCCCCGTTTCCGGGGGGGGGGGGGGGCGAAGGGGGAGAAAATCCCAGTTTAATATATAAACCCGAAAGGTTTGCGCTTCCGAAAGGGCGGGGGGAGATAAAAAGTCCCCATCCTCATTGCTGCCAGACTCGAGAGCGAGATCTCCTGGGGAGAGGGGAGAATATACCCAGGAAGAAAAAAAAAAAAAAAAAAAAAAAAAAAAGGCAAAAAAAATGCGTTCTAAAAATGACAGCGCGGAGCGGCGCGGAGGGAGCGCGGCGCGGGGTGAACCGCGGGTCAGCGCGGCTCTCGGCGGCCGCCGCGCTGCGGACACGCCTCGCTGTTTAACAAAGACTGACAAACTATGAGATTAATACCAAAACTTGCGGGTTTCCCACCCCAAAATGCTCAGAGGGCCTCCTGGCGCTGCCAGGAGCAGTTCCGCTCGCCTTTAAGGACAATAGTGGTTTATACTGGGGGAACGGGGGAGGGGGCACCAACAAACCCCACCAAAAACAAAAAAAAAAAAAAAAAGAAAAAGAAGAAGAAGAGGAGGAAGGAGAGAGAGAAATTAATGTTCTTATCGAGAAATTATCTCATTGAAAAAGCAACACGGGGGAGAGAGAACAGAATAGCCCAGGCTGGACTGGGGAGGGGGTGGCGGGATGGGGGGGTTGGGGGGGGCTGGAGGGTGAGGGGGGGTTAGGGGGTTTCTATAGGATTCCGCCTGCAAAACCTTCCCAAGTTTTGAGGGAACCTCCTAAACCCCTCGGGGATTACTCCGAGGAAAGGACCCCCGTTCTGCCAAGGTAGGTACCGCTGCCGGCGTTACACCTGGGCGGGGGGGGGCGGGGGGGCACCCCCTGCTTCGTGCCCCCTCTTTTGGGGTGACCAAACAGGCGCTCGGCGTCAGGAGCGGTTTCACAGCTCCCCGGCGCTGGCAGGTGCCGTCGGGAGGGTTTGGGGGAGGGTTGGGGGCTCCCCCAGCACCACCTTGGCGGGGGAGAAACAGGCCGGGGAGCCCCAGGGACACCCCCCCACCCCCCCACCCCCCGCCCTTTTCTGACTGAGATTGCTTTGAAATGGAAAAGAACCGGGTGAAATTTGCTGTGAGAAACTTCCGCGACGTGGGGCAGTTTCCCAGCGAAAGGTAGAAAGGTGTGCGGGGGGGAGGGGGGGGGGCGAGGGGGGGGGCAGAGTGGATCTGCCTTTAATTTGGGATCAGAGGCGACGAGGGGGAGATTTCCTGGAGGTGTGGAGGGGGGACGATTTCTGGTAAACGCTAGGGGTGCTGGTTTGCTGGCACCAACCCCTGGTGTCACTGGGAAGGAAAATTAAAGCCGATTTATATATTTTTTTTAAAGGATGTGGGAGGGGGTTCAAAATACGGAATAGGCCTAGGTATTTCTATTCAGGCTCCTGTCCTCAGTTAGGAGATATCTACGGTACCGGCTGCGATGAAATACAATAAAATAAATCAGAGAAGGGATTGGAAAGGAAGAATAAAATTTAAGAGGGAAAAAGAAAAAAAAAAAAGAAGAGCTCTAATGGGATTGGTTCTGTAGAATTATTTTATGGCAGCCATCTACACGTTGTACAAGCAGATTTGATTTGGCTTCTTACTTTTATGGCAGGTTTTAGAGGGGAAGGTAAATTTTAGAGTTGCTGTCTGCTCCCCAGCAAAGTGTAGGTGCCGGGCTGTGGAGGTGGGAAACTCTCTGCTCTCTGCAAAATGCGCCTTCGTTTTGCTCTGCTGCTTTTCTGGAAACCTGGGGTTTGTTGAGACGTGTAAAATGGGTTGGGGCTTGTCCTGGGTGCATTTGGGCTTATTTCTTAAAATATAGGTTCGTTTATCTGGGGATGTTACGATTTATCAGAAAAACCGACTATTCACCTTAAAGTACCTGAAAAAACTCGGGGCATCCTGTGTCCGGGAAAAATACCGGACATTCATTCTTGGTCGTAATTATTTTTTGTTAGAAAAAAATGTAGGAGTGTGTGAAATACATTTAAGATATTTTCCAGGAATTTTAATGTGGGGAAACGCAGTTTTTCTCTGATAGCTTCTCTTCTGTGGCATTTAAATGCTATTAATTAGGGAAATGCTTGACCAAAAAATGTTCTGCCTTTTGAAATACAAAAAAAAAAAAAAAAGGGAGGGGGAGAGGATGCTATACTTTTAATCTCTTGGGCAACTGTAATTTTAAACGAAATCTCAACATGATGCTACCCTCATTAGTTCCGAATGAAGGTTCATTACCTAGACAGTATGAATATTTTATTGCTTTATATCCCTTTTTCGGAAATGAAACGCCTTTGATCTTTTTCTCGGGTTGTAAAAAGAATTGCCTGTCATTAAAAAAAAAACCTGTCGTCCCATCTGCCTTTACATTCTGTATTTCTTTTCATCTGTTTCTTTCTTTTTTTTATAATTTATCCGCACACGCACGTATAAACCCAAACCTTGGTTGACCTCCAAGAACGAAAAATGGATGAAATCTTGGTGCTGCATATCAGAGAATAATTACGAGGGTTTCAGGATGGAGGGGGACGGAGCTATGGCATTTTGCTTTTAAGTGACGATTATTTGGATTCGAGTCTCGTTGTGCGTCTATATTTATATATTCAGTGGAGCAGCTGATTTTTTTTTTTTTTTTTTTTTTTTTAGCACAGCGGTAAACTATAAGTTAGGGAGGAGAAGGTAGACAAATTCTAGTTTTTCTAGTCTAGTATCTGCTATTCGGATACTGAGTTGGTGCTTTAATTAATCGTCTTTCCTCTGAAGAGTGAATCTTTTAACCATCTTTACCTATAGATTAATTCTTGATCTCTCGAGTCACAAAACTTTACCCCCCTGCCCCAGAAGATAATTATGGCGGTAGGCGAAGATCTCTGACCAAGGAGGATGCATCTGTCTTCTATATGTACCCTGTAGATCCGAATTTGTGTAAAGGAAGTTGGGTCACAAATTCGTATCTAGGGGAATATGTAGTTGACACAAACACTACAGGTCACAATCCCAGGAGACATTAAAAACAAAACCAAAAAAAGCCACCCACACCCTCAAAACCCTAAATAAAAGGGTTATAACAAGATCTTAACCAGAAATACGTTTTATAGCTGAAAATAAATACTTTGAATTTGACCTTAGCTCAACTCCAGCGCTCCTGCGATAAACTTTATCATCACTTCGAGATAAAATCTGAGCTGCGAAGGCGGCGAGGGGGGGTGAGGGACAGGGGCGTTATTACTGCGATTCGAGAGCCAGGATCCCACTATTGCTTTAGTTTGTGTAATCTCAGCACTGACACCGAAAAAAAAAAAAAATTATTGCTTTCTTTCCTGCCACTCGTGAGGAGCTTATTGCGCGTTTCAGGTTTAAACACGAATTTGAGGAATTAGGGGTGGCTTTTGAAAGGCTGCTGGTTCGCTCTGGCTTTTAAAGGGTCTTTATTACAAGAAGGGCGAGGCGAAGATGCATTAGGACTTGGGCTAATTCGCTTTTGTAATTGTTCATCAAGTCCTTGATTTCTTGCTTGGAGGACGGGCTCCTTTTTCCATCGGTGCGTGGGAAAACAGTCAATCTCCGAGCACAGCTAAATGTGATTTAGGAGACCGGGTACCCCGAATTAGCTGATGAATTTCTTATCGATCCCAAACAAGCCCTATTCATCTCTGCCAGGCTCGGGGCGCAATGTCCCTTCCCGTATCACCTTAGCACGGAATGAGATGCGACCACCACCCGGAGGGACCGCCATGGATCATGTGCCGGGGCAGCGGCCGTGAGCCGCAGCCGCCAACCCCCGCAAAAAAAAAAAAAAAAAAAAAAAAAAAAAAAAATTACCTTCTATTTTAATTAATTTTTCTTTTTTTTTTTTTTTTTTCTTTTCGGGGGGATTTTTCTTTTTCCCACCCCACCCCCTTTTTTCCCCCGTTCTCCCCCGCCCCGAGCCAGGACACACCCCCGAGGGGTGTGGGCCTGGGGGGGTGCGGCGGCGGGGGGGGGGGTGTCCGGTTCTCGCCCACGGGGCGCGGCGGGGCCCGGGGCCGGCGGGGCCCGGCGGTGGCCGGGGGGGAGCGGGCGGCCCCGGCCGCCTCCCCGGGGATGCTCGGGGCCCCGGGAGAGCCCGGGCTGGGCAGATTTCCTTATCCGGGGATCGCAGGGCACCTCGCCATTGGCCCGCGCTGTCACATGGACTCCAACTTTGTTCACTTGACAGTAAGTAGGAGGGTTTCACGAAACAGGAAAACGAGTAAAGGGGGGGACAGGAATAAATTTTAGGACAGATATTTTTTTTTTTTTTTCGTGTGTGCAATTCTAAGAAATTAATGGCCATGAGCTCGTTTTTGATCAACTCCAACTATGTGGACCCCAAGTTCCCACCCTGTGAAGAGTATTCCCACAGCGATTACCTTCCCAATCACTCGCCGGAATATTACAGCAGCCAGAGGCGAGAGAGCACTTTCCAACATGAAGCGATGTACCAGCCGCGGTCAGCCTGCAAGGAGCAGCTCTACTCGTCCTGTCAGAGCTCCGGCCACCAAGCAGCGGTGTTATCCCCCCGGGGTCATGTCCATCCTCCGGCCGGACTGCAGAGCCACCTCTCTGAGCCAAACCAGCCCTGCGAGCCGGTCACCCCCAGCCCACCACCCTCCTGCAGCCAAAACTCTCTGAACCAAAGCCCTTCCAATTCCTCTTGCAAAGAGCCGGTAGTTTACCCCTGGATGAAAAAAGTCCATGTAAGCACGGGTAAGTGAACTAAAGTGGCTTTGCTTTATACTAAGTAGCACCTCAAAGTCTTGTAGAAATCTTATTGCACCAGTTGTAAAATAACCATTCGTGGAGATTTACGATCGCCTGTTTGCAGAGCGGTATAATTACATCCTCCATAAATTTTTATTGCTCTGCTTGGCCATGTGCCTTTGAAGTCTCTGTTACCATCCTCCTCCAATTTCTTGCAGGCTACTTTTTTTATGGCTGTTGAATCTTCATAAGTTAAGTTTTATGTTTTCGTAATTTGTATTTAAGTGGCGGGTTGAGTAAACTTTTACTATTTTCCCTTCCCCCCCCCCCTTTTTTTTTTTCTTAACTGTGATATTTAATAAAAAGAAGTGTCTGTGTTTGCTTGTTTGCATGTGTGTAAGGAGAACTTTAAAGATTTGGGGATAATAGAGTGATGCTCAAGTAGAGGTGTGTATATATCTGTGTATATACACACGTAGAGGGCATGGAAAATGTGTCTGGGGGACCTTATAAAAACGTTTAGACAGGAATACACGTCAAGCAATGAGGATGGAGGTGGAGATTTGGAGATAGGTTCTGGGTATATTTTTAGAAGGTTTGCCGTGTGTTTTTTTGAGTATAACCCCCCACCAAAAGAATTTGTGATGCTTTTTTTGGGGGGAAAGGACCCATTAAAGGAACAGCTCAGTAATTCTTCTTCTGCTCTTTTTTTTTTTTTTTTTTTCATTTTTTTTTCCCCCTTTTTCTTCTTCCTCCTTTGTGTTTGTTCAGTAAACCCTAATTACTCAGGAGGGGAACCGAAACGCTCCCGCACAGCCTACACCAGGCAGCAAGTCCTGGAGCTGGAGAAAGAATTTCACTATAACCGCTATCTCACCCGGAGGCGCAGGGTCGAGATCGCCCACTCCCTCTGCCTCTCCGAGCGCCAGATCAAAATCTGGTTCCAGAACAGGAGGATGAAATGGAAAAAAGATCACAAGTTACCAAATACCAAGATCAGGTCTAATTCTTCCAGCTCTTCCGCCAGCCTGCAGATCCCACAAGGAGGATCTCAAACCCGATCCCATGGACCAGCCACCAGCCTATAACTATTCCGTGGATGGATGGAGTGTGCGTGTTTGTGGGTGTGAGTTTGTGTGTGTGTAGGGAACACATGATTTGGGGTTGGTTTTTTTTTTGTTTTTTTTTTTTAAATGCTCCAAGAAACAAGGGAAGGAAGGGTGCTCTTTATTTATAGGGGGAACAGAGGGAGACTCAGCTGCAACAAAGCAGAGCTGTGCTGTTGTGCCTCTCTTCCATTAAAAGAAGGCTGTAGATAGTAGTTTTCAGATTTGGCTAAGATGGATCCTTGTTTCATCTTTAATCACGCCAAGCTCTGCCCCATTTGTCATGTTTACTCTCCCGTACAAAGGATGGACCTTATGTCTGCTATTACCTCGACAACCAGCGCTCACTTTAATAAATGAGGCTCAGTTTCTTCAAGACGAACTGGATTTTCTCTTCCCCCCCCCCCCCCCCCCCTTTTTTTTTCCCCTCCTCTTTTTCTTTTCTCGCCTACCAGCCACAAACGGAAAGTTTCTGTCCCGCCATCCCAAAGCTGCGGCGGTTCTAGCACAACCCTGCGATGGAGAAAAAACCCCAACAAATACAACCAAAATCCCCGCCGGGCACGGACCGTGGGGAGCGGGGGGGGGGTCTTGGACACTGCACTGGTCGTGCGTGGGAGTGGGGGGTGGGGAACACCCTGAAATACGAAAAGGGAAATTAGGTCGAGTGGGTTGTGGACAAAGAAAGCGAGAGGATGGAGAGTGATGTAAGATCCCCCCCTGGCTTTTTTTTTTCTTTCTTTTTTTTTTTTTTGAGTCCAGCAGGTTAATTGTGAGTCTGGGGAAGGGGGGGGGGGAGGGGTTTAGGTTAGAAAGTGGGTGACAGCGGGTGGCACCTGGCTGCACCCCGCAGCCCAGGGCGAGGGCCGGGGGGCGGGAAGCTCCTCTCCCGCTGTCTAGCCCAATTTTGTACTGAAAATGTGAATTTCGGACGGAGGGGTGAGGGCTCGCCCCTGTCGGGGAGAGCACGGCGCGGGGGGGCAGGGGTTTGGCGAGGCTCCCCCTGACACCCCGCCCGGGCCCGGCCGCGTCCGTCCCTTCCCTTTGTCCTTCGGGATGTCCAGGGTTACCTGTAAATAGCAGAGAAAAGGAACAGCAACAAAAAAAAAGCGCAATTGAAAATAAATTTTTTCATTGTGAATCTGACCCTGTGTGGTTTTTTTGAGGGGTGGGTGTGTGTGTGTCTTTGTTCTGGTGAGCAAAAAAAAAAAATCTATTTTAAAGAAATTAATTAAACAGCACGTTTCTTTTTTACAGGGATTTCTGTTGTCAATGGCACAGCCTCAACTCCCTAATGAAAACAAAAGATGTTTGACTAGGGTATATCAGCCTTAAGTACTGCTAAGACTTACATATTATGATTTATTTGTTCTAAGCATATATTAATATGCTCTTCCCAAACTGGTCTCAGACAAAACAGAGGTAGTCATTAGCGCTTTGCTTTGCTGTAAGGAATGGATGTAGCGTTGTATTTCTCTAGAGAGACTTCTCGATTTAAAAAAAAAAAATCTCCTTCTCCAAGGTAGTTAATGCATTAATGAGTCTAATTTTTGCACAGATGTTTCTCGGTGTTTGCAGGTTTTCTGTGTATTTTTATATTACAAAGGAGCTGGCTCCTGCGATAGCTCATAGCCTGACAAGCAAATAGATAATCAAGAAGACAAATGGCTTCTTTTGTGAGCCGCAGCTCTTGTATTAATTTTCATTTTCTTTCTCATAGAAAGTATCGAAAATACTGTTCAGGACGAAATAACATTCCAGCTCTAAGTTATAAATATTAAAAAAAAAGAGAAAAAAGACTATTGTGCGCAGGGGGGTCTGCAAGGGGAGGAAACCTCTGCACCAGCTGAAGAAAATAATAATTTTCTTATATTTGCTTCTTTAAAAAAAAAAAAATAGCTTTTGCTTATTTGTTCAATGTTCATGGAATTCTCCGAGACCCCCCATCAGCATCGAAATATTCCCTCGCATTATTCAAACACAAAGGCAGGGCTTAAAATATTTAAAAGTAGAGTGTCTTTATGTGTTATTCCTTTACTTGTAGTAAGTCACCGCACGACCACCTTGCAAATAAAGTGTCCCCAAAAGTCTCCCTGCCCCCAGCTCAAACAAAGGGCCGTTAGATTTTTCTTTCTATTGACATTTTAATACTTTTAAATAATATTAATGTAGTCACATGGTACAGATCTGTTACACGCTCTGATGTAAAATAAATGGATTTATGGGTGTATTTTGGGTTAAATATCTCATTTTTAGAGGTAGCAACTGCAAACCTTTAAAGTTTCTTTTTTTTTTTTTTTTTTTTTTTTTTTCCCAGGGAGGGTGGAAAGGGCTGTATTTTATTGTAATGCCTGAGGTTGGGGTGTTTTGTTGTTGTTGCTGCATTTTATTTTACTGTTTCTTTCTTTGATCTACTGGGGTTGTAAAGAGGGTGTTATTTTCAAGATAGCGCTTCTAAGAATGGCAAAAAATCGTTCTTTTTTTTTTTTTTTTTTTTTTTAAAAAAAAAAAAGCATATGCTTCCAGGAATGCGGGGTCTATAGAAGCAAATCAAAGCTGGAAAGTATGAATAGAATAGAAGGGGGAGAAAAGAAGATTTCTATAGGACCTAAAAGTTCACAGCCATTATAAGCAGACAGAAGCCAAGAAAAATGCGAGAATTATACAGAAAATCATTAATCACTTCTTTTCTTTAAATACTTATCCTTTTCCCATTGTTATTCAACAGCAAATCTCCGCAGACCGTCTGTTGGGAAAAAAGCACCCGGAGTCCTACAAGAATCTTCAGGGGAAATAATAATATTAATAATAAAATCTGGATCGTAAAGGTGAAAGCTTTATTTTTGGTGGAGAAAAACAAAACCAAAAACCCCCCAAGCCACCCCCTCCCCCAGACCTCTCACTTTGGAAGAAACCACCCAAACCATGAGGGCCGTCTCTGGGGCGTTGGAAAAAGGATGTGGGAGCGAACCAGGTAATAGAGCTGCTCTCTTGGCATGCATTTCTGATCGGTTTATTGCCTCCTTTCACGAGAAAGCTGGGGAAAAGCAAAAGCAAAAAAAAAAAAAAACCAAAAGTTTTTTTTTTTTAAAAAAAAAGGGGCAGAAAGAAAAACAACACGTGAATTCTTGTGCGGGGTTTTCCTTCTGTTTTCTCGTCTTATTTTGACCGATGTGAGCGAGGGGAATGGGCAGAGAAAGTTTGCAGGCTGGTTACTTGTGGCGAGAGTGTTTGTTTTTTTTTTTTTTTTTTTACCTCCTCGATATGGGGTTGTGCGTGTTTGGGGCTCGGCCTTGTGGAGCTTTGCTGCGGGACCCCGGGCAGGGCGGTGGGGGGCCCCGAGTGGGGCTTGGGGGGGTCACCCCGCTTAGGTATTTTTTTTTTTTTTTTAATTATTTTTTGTCATTTTTTTTCTTTTTTTAAGTCTTTTTTTTTTTTTTTTTTTTTTTTTTTTTCCGAGCAAGATCTCTCTTGCCCTTATCACGGGCTGGTTTGCGGACAAAGCCCCGGGGGTGCGAGTGTCGGGGGGTGCGGGTGTCCCACGAGTGGCCGTGTCTTGAGGGTGCAGGCGCTCCGGGGGTGCGGGTGTCCCGGAGTGAGGATGCCCCGGAGGGTGCGGGTGTCCGGGGGTGTCTGTATCCCACGAGTGGCCGTGTCCTGGGGGTGCAGGCGATCCGGGGAGTTGCTGCCCCATCCCGGGAGCGCTGCGGGAATACCGTGACGACGAAAAAGGCTGAAAATTGGGGAGACAAACTCCAGCGCTGGGAAGCCCCGATCGGGGGATAGAGTTCACGCAGAGGACACGTTTTCTAGGCGATTAGCTGTGTATTACAGCCGGGGACTGACCTCGCAAACCCCTTGACCTCTCCGAGGCTGGACATTGTGCTGGGCAACAGCTCAGCCCGAAATTCTGCAAAACTTTGCGTGTGCGGGGTCCCGCCGGACCCGGCCCTCCCCGCACGTTTGGGCCGGGGGGTGAGAAACCAGCACCGGGGGACAAAGGTGGGGGGAGGAAAGTGGAGAAGGGACTTTGGAACTGGGTTCTTTTCTGCTTTCTGACGGTTTCAGAGTTCTGTTTCCGAGCCCGGGCCCGACAGACGTTTTCCCCTCCGATTTCGCTCCAAAAGCCCCCGGTGTTTGTTGCCTTTTTTTTTTTTTTTTTTTTTTTAAGACAGAAGGAAGGAGAGAGGGAGAGAGGCCGGGGGGATCTGCACTGGTTTGCCTTTGCAAGGCAGACTGATTGCTTTACAAAAATAATTTGGGGAAAATCTAAAAGAGCGAAGCCCCCCCCCCCCCCCCGCCCCGCCGCCGTTTCCCTCATCCCGTGTCTCATCTCTCCTCTTATTTTCAGAAATTCCTTTGTTTCCGAGAGTCCCTCTCCATCCTCCCCCCCCCCCCGCCCTCCCTCCGCACCTCCTCCCACTTCGCCCCTGCCCAAGGCGTTCTCAAAAGCCTCTCTGTGCCCAGCTGCCTGATGCAGGCGCGGAGCTGCGCGGAGAGGCGCGGAGAGGAGCGGGGAATCCCACCGGGCCGAGGGACGCTCCGGCGGTCTCTCTCCGGCACCCCCGAGCCGAGAACTCCATCCCGGACCCCCCCAAACACCGGTCCAGACCGGGATGCTGAACCCCTTTGTTACTTTTTTGTCCCAAAATTGGACAAAAAAAGGATTCCTGTGTGAGAAAAATCGCGTAACCCAACCCCACTGAGATGTAGTTACTAGAAAGAAGGGGTATAAAGGAAGTAAAAATAAATAAATAAATATATATATATATATATATATATATACACGTATATCTATCTATATATGCATGGATATGGGGGTTGGGGGCGGTGTTTCTACCCGGTATAGGGGGCCGGGGGGGGTCGTGCTGTCCCAGTATAGCACTGGGTCGCTTTCAAGGCGGCTCGGCTTGGCGAGCGGGTTGGGAGTTTCTCAGCCCCGGTGACAGATTTATGATCCGCAATAAGAACGGCGTGTTTAAATCCGTAAATCAATCTCGCTTTCTCACTATATAAACGCTCATTTTATCTTTAGAAAGAAAACGGCTTTGATCACGGCACCTCGGAGGGCGAAGCCGCTGTTTATGGCCGCGTTTCCGACCCTTTGAACTGGGGGCATTAAAAAAAAAAACGAAATGGGTGCTTCTTTAGCATGAAACAAACCCCAAAATGCCAGCGGAGGTGCAGAAGGGGATATCTGCCCCGTTTGCTGCCTGAGATGTCTCTGTTCTTTTTTTTTTTTTTCTCATCCTCTTTTATTTTTTATTTATTTACCCGGCTCCGTTCACAGGGATGCTTCGTTTTATGACTAAGGAAAAAAAAAAAAAAAAAGAAGTGGTTGTGTGAAGCGAAAGTTGTGGCTTCTGAATTGACCTGAAGTTCCCATAACCCGCCCCCCCTTGAAGTTTCCTCCCTCTTAGGACCCCCCCCAGCGAAAGGATCCCCTTTTAATCGGATTTTTCCCCCTCTTCCTCCCACACCTTGACCAAACGTCTCTCTTCCAACAACCACTTTCACTCGATAAAATCGATTCAGAAATAATCGAGGGATTTTGAAAACGAAGCGCTCCCCCCACTCGGTCCTTCCCGGCCGAGGGGGTATCCAGTCCCTCCCCCCCATCCGCCAGACCCCTAGTCTCTGCTTAAATAGAGAAAACCCCCTACTTTTAGGCTTTTTAAATTTATTTTTTACGTTTAATAGGAGCTCCCTCCAGGCTTTCCCTGTGGGGAGGGGGAGGAATTTCGATTCCCGGTGTAGCCTCCGCAGTGGGGGTACTGGGGTGCAGGGGTGTTGGGGTGCTGGGGGTGGGGGGATGCTCTGCCCTCGACCCCCCCTGGCACTGGAAGACCCTCGGGCGCTGGGACACGGTCTTGAGGCTTTCAGGCTCTCCTTGCTGTCTTCTCTCGAGTGACAGTTCCCCCCCACACCCCGCCCGTGGCCGTGGGGGCCGGCGGGGCCGCCCCTTGGCTGCGCACACGGTGCAGGCAGCGCCGTGCCCGGGCAGCGCGCCCCGCTGCTTGCTCCGCGGCTGCTCCGCGGCTGCTCCGCGGCCTTTCCCAGCGTCTCCCTTTGTTGCTCTTTTTTTTTTTTTTTTTTTTTTTTTTTCCTTCCAGGATCCTTGTACTTGGCAGCTCTCTTCAGAGTCAAAATTAGATTTTTTTTTTTTTTTAAATGCAATAAAGGCTGGCCAAACAATAACAGCAGCAGGGAGAAAAAGGCCTGGAAGTGAGGCGAAGGGAGGGCTGAACTCTGAAGCAGGAGGATAAATATTCTCAGCTGATTTAGACTCTCAAACAGTTGTGCTAATCAGTAGAAGATTGTAATAAAAATCTCAGTGTGGAGAGAAAAAAAGGCAAAAAGCACGATGTAGTTCAGCTGAACCAAGGTCTATCAAAGCCAGTCTCCGGGAAAGGTTTAGAGAAGGGTTTAAATGGTCTCAACCCCAGGCAGGAGGGGAAATAAACTTAAAATCGTGCCTTTTAATAGAGAAGTGGCTCAGAGGTGAGTGCCCTCTGCACAGCCTCATCCCGCGCTGGCACGGCCGTGCCAGGCAGCCAGCCCTGGGGAGGAGGGATCACTGTCCATCGAGAAAAGCTTCGTTCAGTTCGAAACTTCTTTAAAAAAATACTGTTCCGGTGGAAGGTCACAGTGGTCCTTTGAGTATGAAACTGAGAGACCCCCTTCCCCCTTCCCCATCACGTGATTCATTAAATAATTAATGCAGAGGTTGCAGAATAGATATGTATTCGTCAGGAAAATCGCAGACATGGTCTCCTTGTGTCTGACGTGAAATTCAACTGTCCTTTAAAAAACAAGCCTATAGCTGAGAAAAAAAAAAAAAAAAAAAAAAAAAGAGAGAGAAAGAGCGAGAGGGAGAGAGAGAAAGAGGGGGAGAGGAGGAGAGAGGGAGAGGGAGAGGAGTCTGCAATAAAACAATTCTCAGGAACCACGAAGCCACGCCGAGGGCTGGATTATTGTAAGTAGCAGGGGCTTCCCAATTCCTAGCGTGTCTATATGTCCATGTAAATTTATTGTTTGTTATTAATGTTATTGTCGTAAAATGTGACAAATAGCCGTCTTCATTTCCTCCCATTTCTCTTCACATGGTGGTATGTGTGTTTATACCCATCGAGGCATTTCATTGATATTTTTAGGAATATTCCTCTCTCTCCCTCTCCCTCTCTCTCCTCGCAACCTTTTTTTTTTTTTTTTCTTCCCCCTTTCTTGATTTATTACAATAAACATGTCAGCAGCAGTGCGGCTGCCATTGTGTGTGTGTTTGTGAGAGAGTTGTGTTGTTTATAGTGGTGTCCAAGATAAATCATTTCTCGAGTGAAAATGATGTGCAAGCGATGATATTTTAGAGCGAGGATCTCTCTCTACCCCACTCCCTGGAGTTGATTATTTCAGACGATTTACTGTAATAGATCAGCAGCTAATATGAAAGCTCTGTAGCTGGGGGTCTTAAATTACAGCATCTGTGATTACCAATTAAGGAGAGATTTGTATAAATTTGGTAAACCGGGAACGCCTCATTGGCATATAAACCTAGTAAAAGAGCACGACCTTAATATAAAAATTACAGCTCGGAGTCCTGTGTTGCAGCATCCCTTTATCAACGATAACTCATTTTCTCCCCAGTTCCCTCTCCCCATCCCCCGGCAGGACTCCTCGCTGGAGAACAGACACAGGTTGCTTTAGCAAAGCAAGGCAGTTTCTGGAGATGCCCTATTTTAAACCAGACACAGAAATCAGACTTTTTTTTTTTAAAAAAAAAAAAAAAAAAAAGTTGCAGCAGGAGGACTGCAAGATAGGTGCCTCTCAGAGAGACACGAATCTGGTCCCAGGCAGGAAGGGGAGTTCGCCCATCAAAACCAGAACAATGGGGATCTGCGGGGACTGGGGCGCTGCCGAGGCACCCCAGCAGAGGCGACTCCCCAAGAGAAAGGGGAATAAACTCACTGCGGGTAATTC